CCCTTTCTTTTTTTTGTTTGGCATTTGTTGATTTAGCACTAATTGGTTCCTCCTCCTTATGGACATCCTCGGTTGTTTCAATTGGTTACGTTTGTTTTCAAGCTCAATCTTCACTCTTAAATCAACCACAATTTGCCCCCTCTTTGTGAGCTCCTCAAATTTGTTAGATGCCAAAATAACACCAACTTGCATGAGCAGTTGAGGAGGGGTACTCTCATTGACTGTTATCTTAGTGATATGGTGATCATGACCCAAAATATCTTGTTGAGAAGAGTTAGAGGCGCCACCTTGGATAACCATTCCCATATTATTCTTGATCGTGACTGAGGAAGAAGCTTGGTAACCTCCTATCAATTTCCTCTGCTTGAGTCTGACCAGCCTCTTGCTGCTCTAACCCAGTCATAGTTGCAATTGCCTTTCCCTTATCAAGCCTAACTGAGCTGGCTTGTAAAGGAGCTGGTTTGGGCTTCCAGCTTTCCACAGTTCTTTGTTGGGACAGGTTGACTCGTTGTGACCAAAAATGCAGTAGTTATGACAAATTTTAGGTCTCCAGTGGTACTCCACCTTGATCTCTATGGTTTCAATTTTCCCCTGGATGTCCATGAGGAGGTCAAAGCTTTCAACCAGTTTTTCAACAGCATTCAGCTCCACACATAATCTTGCGTTACTTAATCTCCTCTTACTTCGCAGTAAGAATGTCATCATAAAGCGGTTTACCCACTGCACTAGCAAGGTAGCTAAGTCCTTCATCACTCCAAAATTGGAGGGGGATGTTATGCAACTTAATCCATAGTGGAATTACAGAGTGGTTCTCTTTGGTTAGGCAAAGATCAGGATGCCACTTTTTGATGATGAGTGGCATACCAGAAAAAAGCCAAGGGCCAGCTTCACATACTTTGGTTCTAGACTCATCATCCATGAACTTAAAAAAATAGAACCCCTTTCATTTGCATAAACCTCAAGGAGGCCCATATTGCCCCAAATCCTGTGAGCTATAAAGCTAATAGATGTGAAGGGGAGTTTTTTCTTTATGAAGTAACCAACAAGGCAGTTTTCCACTCATGACAGCCCTTAGAGACAACTTCCATGGGGGATGGACAATGATTCTATTCTTCTCTGTTTTGGGTTTAAAGTATTGAAGGTTCATTACCTCAGAAGGGTGTTGTTGCAGAGAGCTGGATTTTTCCATAGCATTCTGCTTTAATACTTGGCTCCATGGCTTTTCAGGTGTGGGCTTAGTTTGTGGAACACTCAAATGCTTGCTTGGATGCTGCCTATTAGAAGATCCCCAAACCGGGGGAACAGGGGAAGAGTCCCGAACATTGTTACCTGTAGGGAAGAGTCCCGAACATTGTTACTTGGATGCCACGGTGGTCCTTTATCTCAACATCAACTGTTGTTGAAGTCGCGGATGGAGTCTTGTTTGCAATAACTTCATTCGGCAAAGATGGTGGGTTTGGTGGAGTATCTTTCTGTGCACTGCCTAGTGATGTTTTAGTGAGAGATTGGGTTGACCCACTTTCATTAATAGTTTGGTAGTTGGCAGAACAAGTAGGAGCCCCGTCGATCTTCTTTGGATCTTTGGAAGTAAATGCCTCCCCTATCATGGCTGAGCTGGAATGGTTTGCATAAATTAATTGGAAGGAAGGTTGGGCAGAGGATAAACAGAAGAAACCAGAGGACGAGAAGAATAGGGGATTTGAGTAAATGAGGTGGGTAGCGGTAGGAAATGGAGAATTGAAGGAGATTAGGGGAGGATGAGAAAAATTTGACATGGAAATTCTAGGGTTCAAGGAGGTTGGGGAAAGGCACAGAGAGCCATCAAGCCGCAATATCTATTATTCGTTGTATTAAGTTAACACAGATGTTACTTCTGAACGTTGGCATATGTAATTTAATCTCCTAAACTAAGCATTGTTTCCATATCATATTTGTCTACACAAGTAGTTCTACTTTCCTTTCTGAAAAAGCAGAGAAAACAAAAGGAAAGGTAAACAAGAGCAATAACCAAAATAGGACCCTTGCCAAAGACAGATGCATGCACTGCAAGACCACTTTAGATCCAGCTCTGGAACTTGCTCTATGAATTTAGGCTCGAACGAGCTGCAAACCCCCGGTAATTCTCTGCAATTTGCCTACTAAATTTCATAAAGCATTCCGACTTGCAAGGTCTTTCCCGGTGGGACTTCATGTATGGAAAGTTCAGGCCTACAGTTTTTCTGCAGAAATCTGTACAGGTAATCTATTATGAAGCGAACAAACCATCCATTGTTCCGGTTTGTCTTCAGAATTGTCCGGCCTATTACAAAAACAACTCCCTTTTCTGCTGCTGAATCTAGTCTTTCTATTTCGTCGGTGGATTCAGCGTGCTCTTTGAGTTTTGCCAGCACTGAAGCAACAAATTCATCTCCGGCAACTGCAATGCTCTGTGAATCATTGTAACCAAACTGAACCAAACACCTATAAACCCCATCACTTCCCAGTTTTCCAACATTAAACCTTTCCTCTGGTAAAACCTTTTTGACTGGGAGTGTTCTAAAAGTTACAATCACCATGGTTTCATGCACAGAACTTGTGTGCTGAATGTAATGCCGGATGATGGGTGGAATCCCATTGACAAGATCAGTATAGAAGAAGCAAGTTCCGGATGCTCGATAAACCGTATTTCTTGCTAGCATTTGGTTCAGTTCACCCAAGCTCATCTTCCTCTCGGCTTCATATGCACTCTTCCTACTCCTTCCATATAACCAAGAGAACATGACTGTCAAGAAGAAAGCTGAGATAGCAAATGGAACCCATCCTCCTTGTGGGATTTTGGTGAGCAAGGATGTCATAAAGACACCTTCAATCAGTATGTAGGGCACAAAAAACGTTAGTATGAGAAGAACATGTGTGTTCCAAACGAGCAGCATCACCAACGTTGTCAAACACGTTGTAATGATCATCACCCAGATAACAACCGCACCTGCCAGGCCCACCCAAACAAAAAGGGGTTGATTTAAATGATTATCCTTCTATTTGTGAATATTTGAATTAGTCCTCTCAAAATTTGATTGGATACAATTAATTGACACGCGTTAAAAGGATTTAGGTGAGTTTTTATTAGATTTTAATAATAAATGGGTAGACCATAACATTAGTTTAATAAACAGGTTATATTTGGACAAGATATATCAATCCATTTAAATAAAATTAATAAAATAATAATTATTAAAAATTATTGCCAGAATAATATATATAGTTATTAATTAAATCAATTTTTTAAAAAAAAATTAATAATAATTTTTTTTAGTGAATTATAACGTTTTTAAAACAAACAGGTTACGGTTAAAAGGTTATCTTATCAACCCGATTCGTTTATTAAATTAGTTATATGAATTGTGTTATACAACCAATTTAATAAATAAATCATGTTCGATTAGAAGATTTTCACCCGTTTACTTAAATAAGTTGCAATGGTTTACAAGTTTTTTATACAAACTCGATTAGACCACAACCGTTTAACCGGATATGAATGACACCCCTCATCGTGATAATGCGTTGACTTGAAACAAGTCTCCCTTCTCCGAAATGTAATCAAATTTAATAGTTTGAACTACCCAGAAAACTAAGATCATTGAAGGAGACTTACCGTAAGCATTTGCTAGAGCAACACCATCTCTAAACCCAATGACAAGTCCAATACATAGAATCATGAGAGTGTAGTTTATCTCTGGGCAATAGATTTGTCCTTCATGCTTGGAAGAAGTATGAATTATATGAACCCGAGGGAAGCAACCCAGAGCCTGAGACTGCTTCACTATAGAAAAGCACGCAGATATCATAGACTGGCTTGCAACAATGGCGGCGAGGTTGGAGAGAATGAACATCGGCCAGTACACGGGTTTTGGAACGGAACTATAATAGGCGTCGGTGATTTTATCAGGGTGTTTGATTAAATAGGCTGTCTCGCCGGCGTAAGCCAGGACCATCGCCGGATAAACGATGAAAGAGAAAGAGAACTGCACCAAGCCATATATTCCAATGAAATAACAGACAATTTAAAACAGGAATCAGAGTTAGTTAACCGAATCCGGCTCCTCTACTGTTAAAACAATGCTGTCTTAATCAACAAAAGGAGAAAATTCTCACCCCAGTTAACCTACTCTAATGGTTTGAGAAAACTTACTTGAATTGCTCTCTTGTTGAAGTGACCCATATCAGCAAACATGGCCTCAACCCCTGTCCCATAATTTACAAAAGATTGGCTATGAGTCTCTCTTTTTACTAAGGAAGTTGAAAAGATTTTTGTTATTGTGATTTCTAGACGTGACAATTTCATGCATGATTTGCGACATAACGCAAAATGGACATAGAATTAGCAAAATTTTTCTCAAAAGTATTATGATTTTCAACCTAGCACCTGATTTTTGGTTTATTTTTTAAACTACAATATTTCTATCATTCTATGTGAGCATGTCACACCTCTATATTGAAAAGTTTAGGTTAAAACCGTGCTTTATATAAACAATGATAGAAGTTGAAAAACAAGGGGAGATTAAAAAAAAGGATGACAATGAGCAGATTTGGGTAAATAAACCCAACTAGACATGACATGAACCATCTTTGAAGTATACGCCATACTAATTAGACTTTGCAAGACTAAATAGATCAAAAATGAATTGAATAAATGTTGATATAATATGATATGGGCTCAATATAATATGATCGATTATCAGCTTCAACCCCAATAACAAGAAATTATTTACCTGTTATGCTCAAGAACACTGCACCGAGGAGATCCCAACCAGTCTTGCCATTGCGTGAGAAGATTTGAAAGCTGTAGTGAGGTGACACTGCCTTCAAAATGGATGGTTGGTGTCTGAAGATATTGTAGATTCCGATTGCAGCATTTGTAACAAACCACAACAGCATAATTGGAGAGAATGCGAAGCTGACTTTACTTGTTCCACAACGTTGGAAGGCGAAGAGGATTATTAGAACAACAACCGCCAAGAAAACAATCTGGTCTGCAACAACAATAACCAGAACACCTGGGTGAGTTTTCGAAGCATCTCTAATTTGTTTTTGTTGGGAAAATAACACTTTGACCCCTTTTTAATTATGGAATCAATTTTAATTTGGCCATTGAATTATTGAATTTTTTACATTCCCCCTAACTACTTGAATTGATTTCGCAATGTCCCAATCGCACAAGCCCGTAGTCTTGTGAATGAAAATTGTCAATATGCCGGGGGTAACGTGAAAATAGTTTGAGGCAAAATAAAATAGTTTTAAATTTAATTTATAACGGATGTTAATCATTGAGGTAATACAGAATTAATAACATAGTTGTAAATTCAATATTAGAAACACAACAGTTAAGGGACAGTATAAAAGAAATATCTGGTCGAGGAAATCAAATGTCAGTTGCTCTATTTGATCCTTTTTATTTTGAAGTTTAGTTGCTTTTTATAGCTCATGGTCCAGTCAAGATTAAGGTATCGTTAGACAATATTTCTTAAGCATATTTTGTTTAATTTAACTTTTTATATGGTTGACTCCTTCCATCCAATCCAAGTCCTACATAACATAGATCATTCCCTAGTAGTGTGTGTGAGGGAGTATCCTCTGTAGTCTCTACTCGCTTGACCTTACATTTTGTTCTATATTTTATGTTTTTCTTTTTTATTTGGGTTTGTTCTGATTCTATTTTTGTCAAAGACAAAATGCACATATCAACCTCAAAGTATGACCTTTGTGTCAATTAATATCTTAAACATTTTTTTTTTTTTGTGTCAGTTGAATTCCTAAATTTTTTTAATTGTCAATTGAACTTTTTTGTCCGCCTTTGTCAGACTTTTTAACAGGAAGTGGAGAAGTGTGACGCTCACGAAACATAAATGAATTACAACTAAATCACGTGAGTAATATAGTCTGTCACTTTCTATTATAAAATCTAACAAATGCAGATAGAAGAGCTCCATTGACATAAGTAAAGAATTTCGGAACTCAATTGATCAAAAAAAAAAATTTCAGAAACTTTGACATGAGAGTCATAGTTTGAGAATCACATGTGTAGTTTACTCTTTGGCAAATAACTATCACATATGTTGTTGCCTTTTAGAGAACTTAGAAACAAGGGTACCTTGTGTTATTTTTGAGGTTCCTGCTTGGGTTAATCCTTGAAGAGCTGGAAGAACTGCAAGAACAAATCAATCATATATATATATATATATATATATATATATATATTTTGCAGAAGTACACCAAACGATTTAGCATCGTAGTGTCACATATAACCTATAAATATATTAGTGTGTGTGTGTGTGTGTGTGTGTGGGTGATAAAACTGGAAGTTTACCACAAGTTGCAGGAGTGAGTGCCCCATCGCCAATGACCATGCAAGTTCCAAGCAACACAACAAAAGTAAGAAGATTCTGAGCAACCGAGCTTCTCTCCAAGAACTTCTTAGTCTTTGATCGGAGAGGACTCCCCGGAGGCCGGTAATACGTCAGGTTTCCAACTGACTCCAACCTTGTGTTCTGAAACGTGAGTCTGCTGTGAAAACTTATATGTCGCCGGATAATCGAGTACAGAGCGAAGGTACCACCTTCTCCATGATCAT